GCTTTACGATGAAAGTAAGCCTTTGTGTCTGGAGAGCCGCCTTCGTGAGGTCTCATTTACTGGTAATGGTATGCAGACAATGTCCATCTTCAGCCAAACACAATGTGACTTACCGGCTATAAAAGGGAAAATAACACCCACGTCTTTCCATATGATCCAAAGTTATTACTGGGAAAATATTTTACTGAGCTTTATCACTCAATGCTGGCTGTAGCATTACTTGTATCTTATAATCACACTGAATCCGTCAGCCCAGGAAATGTAACTAGACTCTCTCTGAGTGGAGGGATAAAGGATGTTGGAGGAGGATAAATGAAGGCTAACACAGATTCAGATTAAAGAGGTAGCATTGGTCCCCTTGGGATCCTGGTTACCTGGCAACCCACAACCAGGATTCACACCTCTAAGAATGTGATTCATGCAGTCGGTATGCTCCGGTTGTTGAGACGTTCAAAAGAGAGTTTACTCGTGGATGTCCTCTGCTGTCGGCACATCACACTGCAACTAAGAATGTCAAATCTCGCCCAAATCTCAGTCAGTGTGAGGTTTAGATTAACAATTCTGTTTTTAAATATTAGTTAAGACATGAAGACTCTACTTTCCAGCTTATATAACATGTGATGCTGTATTATTCTGAATAAGTATCAGATTTGTGATTTATGTATCACTTTTGCCCGTACAAAGACTGAATGCTTCTGTCTTCCTTGTGTTGCCGAGCAACCAAGGACAAATGTTGAGAGTGTTGGTCCGACGCAGCCTGCCTATTGTTATGTAGTCCACACTACCTTGTGTGGGCTTCTTTGTATAACATGTAGTTTTCCTTTTTTATTTCTTACTTCTGTGTAAGCTCAACTCAATTTATCTGTGTTTTCCTTTTTATATTTGAATATTTTTATACATTTTCTGTTTGTGTAGCTTAGAGTAGGTATACAACTGCATTTTACTGTGCGATATCCTGCATGGTATAATAGAGTCGAACCTTAAACCTTTAAGATCTGTACAACATATGACTTGCTTTATTCGTAGACCATTGATTTGAATGAGAAAAATCTCCCCACAAAAAGCTTTTAATTGGGGAAAAAGAAGGAAACCTCAGGCAGGCCAGCCGTTTGGAATTATGGACATGGGAATAACATTTTCCAAATTGGGTCCTTCATCCAAGGCTCCAGACTTATTTATTTCACCACGGTCCCACAACCGTCTGAGAAATGATTAAACATCCCAAAGTGTAAACTGGCAAAACTTCTAAATGTTTTGCTTTTATTCCGTTATTGTCATCTGAAGTGATTATTTGTATAAAAACACTCAATTTATTCTATTTTTATTTGAATGCTTTCATTAAAATAAATCTTTCCGCAGGGTTTATTAGTTGCTTTGAGTTAGTGATAAATAAAATAATTCCTTTAGCAGTATCTTTTCAATATTGCTTTAAAAACACTTCCTTCAAACAACTTATGTGTTTCAGCTTGTTGCCCGAAACTAAATGATAGCCTTCACTATATCATGAATAGAGCTTGAATGCATCATAATGTATCTCAATGGAGCTGCATTAGCTGTTAGCTTTTAGTTTGTTATTAAGCTAAACTAAGGACTTTGCTGCTGGCCAGGGTCATATGTACCCTCTGACCCCCACTGATGGCAACTTTGGCTAGAAGACAGAAGTCACAGTAAAATTACACGTGTATTACCATGCGTTATAAAGTGTACTCACAGATACATTGTGTGAGATATGTATTTTGGTCAGACCAAAGAACCTCTATCCCTTTGTCTCTCAGCCAGCAGCCTTCACAGTCAAAATGCTTTAATTAAAATTCCTCCTGTGGTATTACCCTCCAGCTGCTGCTTCCACTGAAAAGGAATACAGTGAGGTCTGTAGGCAGCCACAGAGCAAGGACAATAGTGGGATGCAGCGCCCATAAGGGTCTACTCCACAATTATCTGTACAGGCCTGAGACTGACCTTCTCAGCTCCTGGAACAAATGAGGTGGCTGTAGCCCTAACAAGGGGGCAGAGTAACAATCGCAGGGTTTGTGAGAAGTGCTGTCCGAGCTCGGCCCCGGGCCTCTGTCCTTCTCTGGGCTGCTGGTCTCGTCCCAAAGCAGCATGATTGAAACCCTCTGCATGGCACAGGTCCATTAAATCCACAGTCACGCAGCCTGAAGGCCTGGTGCTGGTGATTGGAAGCGCTGCCCCACCGGTGCCCTTTTGATTGATTCTTCTGAGAGGCTTATAAATGTTGCATGTTTTGCTGCTGGAGGTGACAATCGCATGTGATGGGTTACCCTTTTTATCAAACTATTCAGCTTTGTATTTGTCTGAATCACACTCCTACTGATTTTGTTTTAAAGACTAATATAGCATATAATTAAAAATCTTAATATTGACATGTTACTCTCTATTTGATCAGAGATGGGCCTCGCTAAACAAGCGTGTTTTAGTAGAGGTGTAATGTTGTGTTAATGAGGCAGGGAGGTGATAACGCTCCATAGTGAGGCGGACATGTTTTATGTGCACAGCCTCTGGGGAATGCGAGTGTCGGAGCATCCAATATATCAGAGCCCTTATTTTCTCCGCTCTCTATTATAACGGCCAACGTTGCCATGGTACCCAACCTTGAGAGCGTGTGGCAGGTGGCAACATTCGAAGTAAATGTTGAACGATGAAGACACACTGCATGTTAAACGTTGGTTAAGAGTGGATTTGTAAATTGATGATAAAGTTGTCATTTGTCTGAATGTTTTTTAGCCAGGCTAACTGTGTGTGTGTGTGTGTGTGTGTGTGTGTGTGTGTGTGTGTGTGTGTGTGTGTGTGTGTGTGTGTGTTCAGGCAGTCGTCCACTTTGGTTAAAACTGAAACATCTCAACACCTATTGATTAGACTGCTATGTCATTTCATACAGCTGTTCATGATCCCCAGATGATGAAACCTACTGACTTGAGTGATTCTCTGACTTTTTGATCTGCTTTTATAAGGTTCAAACTTTTGGGAAAATCTGCCTTTAATCTATTGCCATTATCAGTTAAATAAATAATAAAAGAAAATGTATATGCCCAATACTTCCTGCAAAACAAATGACATGTGCATGAGCCTCAGCTGTGTTTTAAGGCTAGTGAGCAAATAATAAAAAAATTAAATAAATAATGATTTCTCTCCGACAGCATACCACTGTAAAATAAGATGGTAATCATTGCACAAACTATTCCTATAGCATTAGCTTTTAAAAATGCTTCATTCATTTAGCTGAAACCAGTGCAGGGGCAGGGTACTCTAGACACTAGCATGGAAGTGTTGCTTATTATGTAATTTCACAAATAAAATTGTGAGAGAAATCAATCATTGTGAGTTTGTTAGTCTTCTCAACATGGCATTGTGCTGGTAAGAGATGGATGGAGCTCCTCTCAGGGGGAAAACTGTCCAGTCTGAGGCCCCTAACATCAATCAACAACCTCTGACATCAAGGCTATGCTGAAGTGTTCATTCAGCTTCTGCCTGAGAACCAAAGCCTTAATCAGTGAAATGACATTAGCGCTATTGAAGGAAGGGGCTCAGCAACAACCATTTAAAGCTCTCCTTTGACACAGCAACATCAGAAGTGACTCTGTAATCCTATTTCTCTCTGCAGATGCTGCACGACAAGCACGTGATGGTGCGTGTTGGTGGAGGCTGGGAGACTTTTGAGAGCTATTTGATGAAACACGATCCGTGCCGCATGCTCCAAATCTCCCGGGTGGAGGGCAAGTCTTCCCCGATCTGCACCAAGTCCCCCAACATCAAGGACCTCTCCCCTGACAGTTACCTGGTGGTGGCCGCCCACTACCGCAGCAAGAAGTGAAGACATGAGACTGAAATTCTTCATTCATAAAGGAGGGGGACTTCCTGCCATTGTTTACTCTCTTATGGACGTGGCTATATAACCTGTCCCTGTTATTTTACTTATTATGGCTACTGACACAACTGGTGTGTGTGATAGTAGACAGCAGTTAGACAATTTCCCTGAGCTTAATGTTTTGTTTACCCCATTTATTTTGCCTTTTGGCTGATATTGTAATTCTTATTGCCTTAACAGTACATTAAATACTCGGACGGATTTACTTGTCCTCGCACAAATTGCAAATTAAACTATATATATGACATTTGAAGAATAGGTGGAAACTTTACAGTCCAAAGAAATGTACTTTACAAACTATAATTTACGTGTCCCATAGAAACCAAACATTGGTCATAAAATGTTATGGCCCTTTTCTTCATGATGTATTTTTTTTATTAGGCTTAAGCAGAGCTTAGACTGTTTACATGTTGAATGATTCTTCAATGAAATGCATTTTTATACTATTTCCATTTTTTCTTTACTCATTATTCATTATTAGGATTGCTCCTGTTTTTTTTATCATTTCTATTGTAAGTGCATGAGCAATCACCCGTTGCACAAGTTGCAACATGTAGCGAAACAGATCCTCATTGATTTAGGATTGATAATTATATAGTCTTACTTTGAGGTTTTGCAATTCTTCAATTTGTTGTGTATTACTGACCTCTAGAGGTAGTGCAGTCATTTAAACTTGAACATCTCAATTCAGTTTCTTACAATTAATAGATTCACACCTCATCCTTCAATTTAATTGTTTGACATTTTTACCTGGAAAATGAATATATTTTTGGCATGAGATCACTTGCTATGCAAACAGCTTTGTATGTAAAGTACATGGGTCCAATTTGTTTTAGATGTACATTTTCAATAAATTTGAATCTTCATAATTTGAAATATCTTGTTTGTACATGTTTTCATTAGGATGGGTACGTTTTCTGACCCAAAGCTCAAATCCTAAGTAGCCATTTGACGTGTAGACTAGTGTGTTCAACTGAGTGTGCTTTATACTGGCTTTTTAAGCCAGTATATATTCATAGGATGTTGCAAATGTCCTTACTGATCATTTTAACCAAATCTAACTCTTATCTTAACTTTCTGTTAAACTGTAATTCACATAGAGTCCACACAAGAGTAGCAGAAATGTAATTTATTGTAGCAAATAACATTGGCTATATGTGCTGTTCTACAAAATGGTAGGAGCACCAGAAGCCTTTAAGGATCAAGTAAAGGCTTTAAGAAATGCACTTAGTTAAGCACGTCAAAGTAAATACTTCCCTGTGTACCATACATACTTCACTTGTTTTTCCTACCAAAGGTTTCTCCCGTTTCTATAACAGCTGACATTTCTATCTCCAGCATAGTGTTAGAAAGCATGTTTGCTGCCCACACCCACTGTGTGCAAATAGATGTCTTACAAAAGCTTGTTTGTCACAAACACATATCATATCATATAAATAAGCAGGCATCACATCAGTGGTTTGCACACATTGTAATTCAATGCAACACAATTGTGCAGAGCAAAAACTAAAAGGGCTCTATTAAATGATTTATACCAAAGACTTGTGCACAGGGTTATTAACAGCAGCAACATTTGGAAGCTGCTGTATATTTTATCACCAAGGTATGAAGTTTGTACTTCCTGACCGAATCACCAACTCAGTGATGTTGCATTGAGTTCAGACCTGGTTATCAAACATGTCCTCAGCATAATGCCTCATTGGGATTCCCATGTGACACGAGCACTGCACTGATCACAGAACCATCCACCGGGTGGTAAATACGTTATAACCTTTCTTGCACAATTCTTTATGTTGCCCATAAATAGAGCCCTCAATTAGGTTGAATACATGTTAACTGGGTCCTTGTTTAATTGTATGAAACACCTTCATAAGCACACTTTCAAGTTTGTAAACATAAACTGTGTTTTTCCTTGACAGGTTGTTAAAAAAAGTCGTACAAAAAGCAGTGCAGACAATGTGGATTTACAAATCCTCCACAGTGAAAACTAAAAGCAGTGAAGTGAAAAAGCTAAAAAGTGGTTAATGACAGCTTTGTCTTAATATGACAACAGCCAGCAGAGTTAAAGCTGGACTCAATCATCATATTATTTAGTGTTATCTAATGGTGATCACTGTAAGACTGTCATATTTATTTTTAAATAAAACTAATACAGTATGACCTGTATCTACTTGCACGTGTCTGTTATCCCCGTCCAAACGCCTGTGCTGGCTTGTATAACTTGGCAACAAGAGGGTTTTCCTGCTGTTCTGTCTGTAATCACTTCAGATTGTTTTGCATAAAGCATGACACCTGTAGCCACGTGTCTCATAATAATAATAATAATAATAATAATAATAATATCAAAAGAAAAGCAACAAAAAAAAAAAAAAAAAAAAAAAAAGCAACAAAAAAAAAAAAAAACCGACAGCAGTTCAAACATCTTTCAAGTTGTCTTGCTTCAATTCTTCACTTTGTTTTTGACTTCATCTTGATTTTCAGCCCACCTGCCACTAGAGAACAAAGAGGGGGGAGGTTATCAGAACAATATTCAGTCTTTGAGACAAAGTGCTATATCAATGATATGTCTCACGTTTGAGACTAGATGTCATATAGAAAACGTGGTTAGTGTGATATTTTGGTGTTACCGCTAACTGGGTAACAGATTATATCAACAACATATTATCATATTATTGGCTAACATCTTACTATTCAAATAGAGGGATACATTCAAAGTTATAATTGCACCAGACTTTCTAGAGTGACACCCATGATCATCCTGTTTCTCTAGAAATCACACAGCTTGAGGAAAATAACAAAACTAACCCTCAACCCGCCGCCTCCAGACACAGAGCCGGTCATCTCCTGTTTTTCCATCTCTTCCTGTTTCTTCTTTTTTCTCTCGACTGCTTCTGGATTTTTAACCCCCCTGTATGTTGTCTGAAAAAGAGAGTAGAAAATGGTCAAGCAATAACTGACAATGGTTTCATTAAGAAAAAGGAGCTTAAATATTTTGAATGTGTTCAAATATATAATGTACAGTCCAAAAAACATGCATGTTTTTCCTCAAAGATTACTTTAACAAAAAAACATCTTTAAAAAGCACAAGGTATGTTCAATCAGAGCTAGCAAAATTGCATTCAACTTCCAAATAAAGCAATCCAGATAAAGGAGGAAGCAGCTCACTGCCATGTGTGTGTTAGGGCCAAGTGATTTCATCTGCAGTCCTGAAAGTGTGAATCATCAGGGAAATTGAAGGTGAAACATGTGGTAGATTAGAAATTAGCCAATCCAAAAGATTCAATTGGCCAAAAAAAGGTTTTCATTTTGGTCTACTTACCTTGATACAACTTTAGCATGGCTCTTACGGGTTTTCAAGTGGCATTTCTGTATGATAATGAAAACACTCACCAACTGTCACATGCATCTACCTCAGATGGGATGTAGTACAATTTATACTACACTCAGTTTCCAGTATATTCATATTGTATGAATCTCACTAACTAATTTAGTCTGAACAACCCTGCAGTAAATGTGATCCTTGTAAAGAGTATGATGTCCAGTTTTGGATCAAACGATTTAGAGAACTGTTAAGCTTAGTGGTTATTTTGGAGGCTGTGGTGTGTTTAGTTGTTGTTGAATTATAAAAAGGTAATACTGACAAATATTTTAAATCACACAATACAATTTAACAACATTAAACCAACAGCCTAAATTTAATCCAACCTTCATGATGTTAGGATGTATTACAGAGCTCATTATGGAAAACATTACTTTTAGTAATACTTAATAATCTGGAAAACAGTATCAAAAGGGTTTTAGACACAAAGAGAAACATACACAAACACTTATTAATTAACCTACCTCTTTCTGTCTTTTCTCAGCAGCCTCAGCCAATTGTCGTCTCCTTGCGTCCTGAAAGTAACAATACATCGAAACCTTTGAAGTATTATGGTTGGATAATTGTATTCATTTCTGAAACCATAGGTAAACTACAGCAACCCACAACTAACATTATATACTTTATATGAAAACTTCTAAAAGAAAACCTCAGTTTTTCAGGGAAATGTGTCACAAAATCACCACTCAAAAGTTTCTGTGCATTATCCTAACGATAGTTAAGTAACTCAGGGCTGTCCTGATGGATGTCAAATCCTTATTAACGCAATCACACATAAAACCACACCCCTAAAGAGATACATGCACACAAGCATGCTTTACAAATAACATTGCTAAACTATCATCACACACAAATGTTTGGCCTTGTATCAGTTAGTCTTATCAGCTACATCTGTTAGCCACAGTCTATATAAAGCTAGCTAGTTGAGTATGTTGGGCCTGCAGCATGCTTTACAGCCAGTGTTTACAGAGCCTAAACAGTCAACTCCTGAACATTACCTAGTAGGGCCTACTGATGTCCTACACACGATTAATCACATCCACATGGCCTTTGGTTTATTTAAAGAGTGGAAATACACATTGTATGTCGTTATACAAGTGTGACATTCTGACTTTTGTAGTGACACAGCTGGTAATAAAAGTGTTAGTAAAATGAACCTACTGGATCTGGTGTGACAACAACGTCGTCCGCTGCTCCACCAAGGCACGGTAAGCACATCCCCATACTGGAGTACCAGGAAGTAAAAGGCACGTAAAAAATTGAAACAAGTGTCTTGGTTGAGATTATCAAGCTAACTTACTAGCTGGTAATCAGTCAAATCGCTGTGTTGATGGTTAAGGCAGAAGAGGAAGCAGCACCCAGCGACTGCTGCTGTTCGCATACCGTTACCGTTAGCTCATGTTAGCTCATGGTAACAATAGCATCCCAGTTTACAGTTAGCTACCACTAGCTACACGCACTTTTTCTCCTCCAGGCAGCCACTTCTTTAATTTCATTTCTTCCCAAACTTCTTTTTAAAAGCATCGAGATATGACAAATATGTGTTATAAAGTCAGACGTCCATTCTAAATGTTTATCCCCGAGTTTGTTGACACAGCTGACTAATCTGCCAGTGTAAACTATGTTCACAAACACGACATTGCTAAACAGTTTTCTGCTAAGATGTACAAAAATAACTAAGCGCCAAATAATAATACCGCATCAAAACAATACGAAACTGCTACTGTATTTGTACACGATTTATCTTAAGCTACATTGGTCTTATTTATAGCACATTTGCTCCACCATATTGTGTTTAAAGAAATGTGTTCATTGTGTGATTTTGAACGTAGCTCGGTGTGACAGGTGATGGGTGGATGGATGCTACCAGGGCTGCCAACACTCACGCATTGAGCGTGAGAGTCACGCAATTAACCCATATCTCACGTTTTCGTCCAAAATAAATGTATATAAATATAAAAATAAAGTGAAGGAACAGCAAACCGATCGGTCTACGAAATGAGACGGTCTTCTGGCTTAGTTCAGTAAAGTTGGAACGATATAGGGAGATTCGGATTTCACGGATCAATAACTCATGAACAAAACGTTATTCAGACACAAATGACGTCTCCTAAGTACCGTGGTAAGGTTGACAACGAACTACAATCACATTTTGATCAAAAAAAGCCAATACGCGCCGTCCTCCGAGCTGGGCACATTACATTGGTCTCTATCCGCAGCCGGAGTAGAAACGAGTGCTCAGGGACCGTCTCTAAAATGCAACTCCGAAAAAAGAGAATACAATAATATCCAATCACTATTATACAGCTTATTACTACCAAACTCACTACACACCAATGGTCTCCTGTGTGTCATACTACAGCAAGGAGTTTGGAAGAATATGCTTTTGAATAATTTTGGGGAATATTTATAATGTAAAATCTTCAATAAATATGGCATCATCTTCAATAACTTTACTATTATACAGTATATTTCTACCAAACTCACTATTTGCATTGTTGTTGTTAGCATCTGGTTAGCTAGCTGTGCTAACGGATATTAGAAGCTGTTTCTGAAATAAGGAGAGAGAGAGCTCTGTCCTGTCAGACTGCTCAGTGAGGTAAGGGACTCTCTGTTTAGATAGTTAACTTTAGTCGAGTTATCTCAGTGGGTCTCAAACGGTTT